CAAACAGACAAAGAGTTTGTTTCTTGTTTGAAAACTGCCAGAGTAATGCCTCTGCCAGACTGAGGCCCCTGATGCAATGGACCACCACTCCCATCATCCCAGCCATTTTCCTGGGGAAGATAGATGTGCTAGTCCAGCAGATCTGGAGGGTGCCCGAATGGGAAAAGCCCACATCACGGTAGAGGGCCTGGGTTATGGAATGGGGCTTGTGAACCGAGGCTCGCTGTCATTCCGGACTTCAACAACCAGTTTCCAGCGGCGGAACACTAAATTTAGCTGGCACCTTTCCTCCCCCGCCCCATTGTCTCCCCTCCTCCTATACAGCATTCAATTAATTTTAATTCACCGAGTGCAGCTACTCTAGGGGGTAATTGCTTCTATCCTTGGAAATTGCATAAACTTCATAAGCATACACCACTTTTCCGTTAACACGCTTTCAAGAGAGAGTCCCTCATTTGAACTCTAGTCCTGCCTCATTTCATTTCTTTCTTTGTTGTTAATAATAATATTTAGTGTTTAAAGGAGCCCTTTGTGTCTTCAAAGAGCATTTGCAGACATTAAATAATGGAACGGCACAACCCGTTTTTGTGTATGCCTTCGGTGAGGAGGCTCAAGCCGAGGCCCGTGTGCAGGTGGTTCTAGGAGAAGCTAATCCGCATCGGAGCCGCATTCCCCCTGTGAATTTCGAACTGGATCAAGTCCGTTGTCCTCACTGCTGAGCAGAACTGTCAAGATCTCACATGGAAACGGAACTGCGGGCCTTGGGGAGATGTGCACCGCGGGTGCAGGAGCCACCAGAGATGAACAGAACACCTTCCGAATCGGGGAGAAAGCCTTTTTTTGAAGAACGCACCTAGGACAATGAGGACACCCAGCTTGGATTGGGCCAAAGAGGCATCTAGTCCAGGTGGGAGCAAGCTTCTTGCAACTCAAGAGCCAAAGCCAGCTTCAGAGAGTTTCAGGGCTGTGGGGGCCCTTCCCCCCCCCACTAATGATTGGCAGTGGCGGCCTCTTAACCAAGCAGGGCAGCAAAAGAGCAACTCTTCGACCCTTTCCGCAAAACACAAACCCTCGCCTTGCCAAGGCTGAGCACCACTAGGAAAAATTATCGGAGGACTTCTCCTGCCCTGGAGTAACCCCCCCTCCCATTTCTCTGCTCACCACTAGGCAGCAGAATGTCCCGATGCGGCTGAACACGGGGGACAAACGCACAAACATGCAGAGGCATCGCACACACACCAAAAATCACTCCGTGCTGACTTCCGCGGCCCTTGCCGTTCCGTACCTGTGCAGTCTCTCTTCCAGATCGCCAGCTTCTGAGGTTAGCAGCTTGGGTGCTTGCTGGATCCCAAGGCACAGCAGCCTGAGCGGACGGCCAGCGTCTGAAGGTTTATCCCAGGCCCGGACAGCTCTGCCCGCCAGCTGCAGAGCCCCTGGTGCAGGTCTCCCCGTCTTTCTGAGCCTCAAGAGAGCCAGCGCTCAGGCTGGGCCCGGCCTGGCCTTCTGCACCCTGGAGTCCCAAAAAGGCAGCCCGGGGGTTGCGCGTTGGAGCTGGACTCCCATCAGCCCCAGCCAGCACAGTCAAGGATCAGGCATGTTGGAAATTGTCCTGCACAGAACCTGGGCGGCTCCAGCAGCCTCCGTCCCTTTAGCACTGAACCAACCCAAAGCTCAGAGAGGTGCCGGACGTTTTCCACCAGGGGCAAATCCCATTTCAAAGAGGCCCCCGAGGGCCACATTCCAGGCAGGGTCAAAAACCCCAAGCAAACCCAGAATATTCACCTGCTTCAGCAGAATGATTGCCTTGCTCATCAATCACCTGCAGGAAACACCCTGCAGTATTTTGGAACTGGGAGGAACACACACAACTAGGCAGCCCCCAACAGATGGGGGGAGGAAGGGGGGTGTCTGCAAAACCCCAGAGGGCCAGATTGGGCTGGGTGAGGTGTGGAGCCTTAGCCAGGACCAAAGTACCTGGGGAGCTCACAGGTGCCGACGGGGGCCATGTCGCCTTCTCCCGTCGCCTGCATCCCACCCCAGTCCAAGAGCAAGCAGAGTTGCTTGGTGCTGCCGACTTCATCGCTTGCCACGAACTGGGCTTTTTCCACAGTGGCCTTGTGGAAGTCCAACCCCCCCCGCCCCCCTTGCTGCAAAAGTCTACCCAGCAGGGCTGTTGGCCAAGCGGCAATGCACCTTTTATGCAAAGCTCTCCTGCTGCTGCAAGTTATCCCAAGATGCAACGAATGTGGGACACCTGCCTCCACTTTCTCAGCTGCTAACTTTGCCCGGCTGCCTTTGGTACGCTTAATGCAATCCCTTTTCATTGAACAGTTTATGTCCACCTATCCATCATGAAAACAGCAGACCAATGGCTAAGAATTCGCAAGAACTCCAAAAAGCAGGTGGGTAAAAACGTGATGAATACTAAAAGCAATGAATAGCAAAAACACCCGAATGACGGAGTGGCCCTCGTGCAACAGAGCTGCTTTCATGCCGAAGGTCGGCTTGTGCGAAGTCTCTTTGCCCGCTAGCGGAAAGTCAGCGATCAAGCGTCCCTTGGTGGGGAGCCGCGACTAAGAAGACCCTCTTTGGTGGCGCCATCAAATTCACCTTTGGATGCGTCAGGACGAAAAGAAGCGCCCCCTCAAACCTGAATCCCTGGGCAGGCTTTTCCGGGAACAGAGGTCCCGCCCATTAAAGGGAAAGTTGCCTTGTTTTATTACAGCTTTACTGAATGGCTTTCTTGCATTGCATATCGGTTTTACTTGGCCAACCAGTTTGGGCTACACAATAAACACAAACAAATGGAACCCTGACAAAATCACAAATAGCCGAACGGGAAGTGGAAGAAAAAGTGGAAGAACCCATGGCCCCCAGGAGCCAGCGCAGCTTTAAAAAGTTTTCCCCTCTTCTGTTTAAAAGTTGTGTTGTTTGCAACAGTTGTGCCTCGCCTGAATGGCTCATAGCCGATCAATAAATGTCATTTGAGGGAGAGTCACCGAGAGAAAGGTCACCGATACCAAAGGGGAGCTCTGGTGACGAGCAGGAAGTGTGAGCACCTGCTCTTGTGAACCAGCAGTAATTTCCCCTGCACATGAGAAAAGGAGGTCCAGGGGGCGATCATGGGTCTCTTACCTTTTCTGCCCTTGCAAGCCACATCACGGGCGCCGCCTCCTCTCCTTTCGCTCCATTTTATCCTGACAACAGCCCTGCCAGGGGTCAGGCTGGGAGCCAGCAACCGGTCCAGAGTCCCCCTGTGAGCTTCCAAGTGGGGGCTAGAACCCGGAGCTGCGAAGTCCCAGACCGACGAAGCACCGACTGCACCGCTCCAACGCCAAGCCTCCCTTCTGCCGCCCCAGCGCTCTGCTTCCATTCCAAGCCGGCCAGGCAGCAACGTCTCTTCGAAGCGCACCATGGCGCCTGCAGAACCGAGCTGGGCATGGCCGGCTGAGGCACGCGGACCAATCCCGTTGCCCCAGCCCGCTTAAAGCCCTAGCGCTGCACGGAGTCCTGGGCTTCTTCTGAAGGCCCTCGCCTCCGGCCCAAGGAGGGCCCCCGGGGTTCAGCTCCCCGTCTCGAGTGCTGCCAGGGCACGTGGCCCCCTCTGCTTCTGGACCACCTGCTCCTTGGTCACCAGCCTGGCCCACCTCTCTCTGGGGAGGGGGAAACTGGACCCAGTTCCATCTTCCAGCATATACGGAAACCCTCCAGTCTGTATCTAGACTCTTTCTCCAGCGCCAGCTCCAAGGGAGGCCCAGAAAAAGGGAGCGGCGGTGGCCCCCCATTTTGGAACAACCCCCCCACTGAGGCCTACCTGGCACCAACGTTGTGGTCTCTCTTGCATCTCGTGAAAACCTCCTCCTGTTCGCAGGCATGAATGGCACACGAGGGGTTAACATTAGCTGTTTGAATTAGGTTTCATTTCCTTGACCTTATTGTAGATTTTTTCTTTCAGACTTTTTCGGATTAAAAATTGTTTCAGACTTTTGTATATTGGACGTTTAAACTGTTCTAAATGCACATACTGGAATGTTATATTGTTTTCACTCCAGTTGTATTTTCATCGTCTCTCAGCTGTATTTGGAGAACCTGCCGTGAACTGTGCAGGGAGCTTCAGCAATTGAGTGGTACAAACAGCAAATCCAGTATATTATTACATAAAGTTAAGATGCACCCCAGTCCCAGACCCCACCTGCCTGATTCTCCCTGTTCTAACGCAGGAATGTCACTGCTGAGCCTGGATCACATACCACCAGGGCTGAGAGGCAGAGGCAAAGCCAGACTTCAGTCTCTGCAGGATGGGAAAATTCCTGCAAAAACCCAGGAGAACCGTGGCTGCCGAAGTCGACGGTGCGGGGCTGGAAGGGCCACGGTCTGATCCACCTTCCTGTGCTCCTAAGAACCAGTTGGGGTCTGGCTAAGGGCTTCTCTTAGGCTGGAACCGGGGGTCAGACTAGATGGCCCGGGACCCCCTTCTGACCTGCTCTGTTTCTATGTTTCTCCCATCCCGATGCAGGTCCCATCCTGGCCAGGTGCGCAGCTGTCACTACAAGGGCTTTGCACAATTCCCACACCAGAGGCCACCAGTTTGATTTACTAAATTCAGACCATACTCTGCCTGGCATCAGCAGCTAGACCAAGCTGTCCACCACTGTGCCGAACCCCTGAGTAGACCTATTTGGAGAAACGACACTCCAGTGCTCCACGAAATAGCTTGCACCAGGGTCCCCACCTGGACAGCACCCTACCTCTCCGAACATGCGACAGTGTTGTTTAAATCAGAGCACACTGAAAGATCATCTGCACATCACACATCTTCTCCAAAGGCTCCCCTCCCTCCCCCGCTGCCCCACTGACCCTGCCAGGACAAGCCCTGGAGTTGGAGGGGGGGGGAAGGCCACCTTTCTCTGCTCGCCCCACTGCCCTCCAACCCGCAGCCACCCGATTCACAAGCAGGCCGCCGGTTAAATCATTCTCGATTTAATACAAACAAGTGCAAAACGAAGAGCCAGTCGCAATATCCAACCGGCTCACTGCAGAGCCGCACATTTGGATGCTGCTGCTTAAAAAACCCAGTAAAAACACACGTTTCCCCCATTATTATTTTTTCTGGTTTCACGACACGTCCTGAGGTTTCAAAAAAGAGAGAAGCCAGCTATTCCGGCACGGCGGGCCAGAAGTATCGAGAGCGATGCTCGCCATCTAGCGGACTGAAACGTCACACAGTGACTCATCTCCAAAGAGCGAGACCCACAGCTCATGGTGTGTGGGATTCCTCTGGGCCTCCGGTGTTTCCTGAGGGCAGCCCAGGGTCCCGGGTCAGACGCGGGGCAGCGTAGGACTGATCCCCAGGCTAAAAGGTGGCACCCCAAGGCTGGAGTTTCTCTCTCTCTCTCTCGGTGGAAAGGACTTGATGCGACTCTGTAGCCGGGCATTCTGACACCTTCCCACACCACGGTTGCCCGCATCTGTTCGTGTGGTGAATGCCTAAAAGCGACAGGTAGCCTCTGAGGTGCTGCAGGAGCCTTGGCAGAAAAGGGAAGCGGGGCGCTCTTCACCCCGAGCTCTCCTGCGGCTGTCGGAGGAGCGCTCGGCAACAGGAGAGCATCTTCCAAAACTGTTTGCCCGCCACACGGAATCAAGAAGTGCTGGCCGAATTTGAACAGTCCGTGTTCACACACACACACGACTCTCCCCATCAGGGAGAAGGCTTCCGATCCCGCTTGCTCCTTGGCCTGCTATTTTCTACTTGCAGGTCAGCGATTTTGAGGCAGGTGGGAGGGAAGACGCTGAAGAAAGATGGCTCTCCGGCTGCAGTGCAGATGGTCTGCCCTCTCCTTCCAGCTTGGCCTGGCCTGGCTGGCTGCTGAGGGGAGGGAAAAGGCCATGCCGACTTCGGGTTACGAGGAGGAGGTACCGTCTTCTGAATGCCGCTGCACGTGGGAAATGCCCTGCCAGCAGACACCTAACACACCAAGGAGAACAGACTCACTCCCTCTTTGCCGGCGTTCTCCTTTCGTGGGGTGTTGCAAAGAGGAGCACCATCTTCTCCAACCGGCGCTTTCCACTCTGCAGCATGTGGTGACCGGGCTGAGCTTCTTGCTATGGAAAGCGCTTCTCTTTGTTTTCTCCTGGTTTCCCTGTCCTCCTGCAAGTAGCTTCCATGAAACAGAACGGGGAGCTGGAGGAGTTCTGTCGTACTTGGACGGGACTCGCAGGAAGGGAGTACCCAGCCGCCATTTTGGGAGGCAACCGGGGCGCCTCCGTTCTCAGATCTATGATCCCAGTGATTCGTGGAGCAGCTGCCGGTGGATGGAGGAGGGAGGAGTCCCTAGCCGGGCTTGGGAGCTGCTGGACTCAAGTCGGACCGAGATTCCATGGAAAGACAAGCTCGCATCCAGCAATTCCAAGAGGATGGCTTTTGAGGAGTTTAATCTCCACCTTAAGATTCAGGAAGCTCCAGTTTTCCAAGTAGGCCATTTAACTTCAGACTCCTGGGCCAATGCTCTTCCTTCTCCTTTCCTTTCCTTTCCTTCTCTTTTGCCTGAGATTTTGACTCTCCAAAAGACAAAAATGGTCTCCCAACTGCAAAAGCTGTGTGAGCCTCTGGCAAAGTCACTGCTGCGTGAGGTCCATCCAAATGTCCCTCTTGAGTCTAGTTCTTTGCTTTCATAAGTCCGAATAAGTTGAACCTGATTTTCTTTTTTTCACTTTCCAGAGTGTTACGAGGCACGTCTACAGAAGGAGGCAGACATAAGTTTAAGGAACCACAGATTACACTTTAAAATTAAAATTCACAACTGGCATGGAGGGAATGATGCGCGAGGGACAGATTATCATTCCACGTTCTCAAGTCAGGCAGACAGCAAAACTGTGGAAAGGGGCTTCTATTTGGTAATGATTTGCCCTGGAATTGGGTCTGTGCTTTTGTTGCTCAGGCAAAGGGTGGGTAAGTCATGGCACCATTTCTGGTCTCCTCTTTTTAATGTTTGCATTAACTTGGATTGCTGTGAATTGAGCCTCCATACTCTAAGGCAGTCTACCTGTGTCTGGCAACGCCTGGGCAGGCAGTGGGAAGGAGGGACTGCTGTTGCATCGGAGCCCTATTCATGGGCTTCCTAGAGGTGAGAGCAGATGGGCTGTGGGTGTCATCTGGCAGTGTGTTCAGTGCTGTTCAGCCCCCACTCTTTGGTTGCAGGACTTACCAAGTCTCTGGATCATAGCAGCTAGCATCTCATCTTCCTCCATTTCCCTAAGGGGGGAAGGAAAGAGTGTTAGAGGGGAAGGATTTTTATTTTTTCCTTATTTTTATTTAAAATGTTTGTAGGCCGTCCCATTATCCAAGTCTTGGAACGGTTTAACAAGACAAAATGTAAAAAAAAAAAAAAAAAAAAGGATTATTAAAGCACAGCATTCCTTGCAGATGTGCTGCCAACTGGAATCTGACTGGCAGACGGAACCTACCCAGACAGGGCGGATCGTTCGGGATCCTTTGGGATTCATGGCAGGGGGGCCGATCGCTCCGGCTTTCAGTTGACCAGAGCTGCGGGCGAGCGAGTCTGCCACATGCCTGCGGCATAGGGCACTCTGCACATGCAGAAGCACAGAGGAGGCTGTCCGTTGTGCCCCTGCATGTGTTCCTGCTCTGCCGCTTTCCCCTTCTGATCTGGGCGCGTCAGTCGCTCACACAGAGACAAAGGGGGCCCTCTCACACAAAGAACCTCCCTGGAAGCGGCCCGCGTTTGCGGGCCGGTAGGGGAAGAGGCACCAGACAAGCGACGGGGCTTGCTTTCCCACCTGCTTCCTCAGCGCAAAGCTCGGAGCTAAAACGCCTGGACCGACCAGGAAGCAGTAGCCAGAAACGAAGGTGGTTCCTAATTACTCCGACATGCTTGCCAAGGAGCCGAACCCTATGAACCTCGTTTGGCAGAGGAAGCTGACAAATCTCCACCAAGGGGGCTATTTTCTGGAAATGCAAAGGCTGCGAAGGGCTCCAGACTGGCTGGCCCTGAATGAGGAAGCCTGGCCCTTATTTTTAAAGGCGCAGTCCTTGGAAAAACATGAAAGCCAGAACTGGGTGGTAAGAGACGAGGCCGCCAAGTTAGCTTCCCACCGAGTTCCCCTGCAGGGAGAAACAACCGGCCAAGGGCTCGACAGGGGAGTAGAGAAAGCCACCTGCTCGTTGGACAAACACCTGCTCAGGATGCTGCGTGTCCCAGGTGTGAGTCTCCAAACACTGGTACCCATTTTTCATTGTGTATTATTATTTATGAGTCGATCCCTTTCAGGTGCTTTGGGCTCCAACTCGCATCAGCCTCGGCCGGCAGGCGCCGGTCAAGAAGCCTAGGATGCCCAAAACATCTGGAAGGCATCAGGCGGGCGGTTGCGTCCAGCCAGGAACGCTCTCGTGCATCGTCTCCTCCACGAAGGCCCTGCTCACCGGATTCTGTCCTCATCCAAGTCTTCCACGATTTTATTGCGATCGTTGACGGTGGCCAGGTAGGACTTCAGCAGCTCATCCTCCCGGGCCTTCTCCCTTGGGCTCTTCAGGGTTTCTGTACAAGAGGAGAAGGGACCCGATGACATGGATTGCCTCCGTAAAGGACACTGGGGGAAGCAGTGTGGTACAGTGGCTAGAGCATCGGGCTACAAGCAGGAAGTACAAGCACAAAGTCACTCTCTGGGCTGAGAGGTGAGGCTGGACAAAGCTACCTGTGTCACAGGCCTGGTATTTGTTTTTAGCCCTTTCAACAGTCTTACGTTTTGTAGACTGAAATGTTAGCTGATATTTTATTATCTGCATTTGTGCTTGGCAATTTTGTGGATTATTATGGACCATCAGCTCTCGGGCTGTACAGAAAGACAACAAGAGAGAGCAACAAAACCGTAAAAACTAAAGACCACAGTTCTTCTTCCCACGCAGCCCCGGGTGATTCTCACCAACTCGTGGCCTGGCCTACTTCACAGGGTTGTTGTTAGGTTACAAAAAGGAAGAGAGAAAGATGTGTAAATGAACTTGGGTTTCTTGGAAGAACAAGTAACAGTGGCATATAAGTCTAGTAAATACCCTGATAAACAAGAAATGGACCTGCTACTGGAGGGGAAGCCACTGCAAGGCATTTCAAATGTCATCAGGAGTTAAATGTCAATTTAACATCCCCCTCTCCCATTTCAGTTTTGGTGGGGAAGGTGGGGGAAGAACCGTCACAGAGACAGGAAGACCTGGGGAGAAACGGAAAATATATTTTCCCTCCGTACGGTCCAAGCATCCCAAGCATAAAAGACTAAAATGCTCCCCCCGAGGCTCAGCGGCTGGCGGGGAGCATTTAAACATACTGGCATTCAGTCCCCAAATACTTCCCTTCATCTCTGCCCCCCCCATCACATGGCCCAAAGCGGTTCCACAGCCAAATCGAGGCTTCCCTGCGGGCGGATAGCGTGCTCTTTCTCCCAGCCGCCTTGAGAAAGCGCCAAGATTTGCAGAGTGTAATGACGACGACGACAACTGTTTCAAAACAAGATCTAACAGGGTACCTCCCCCCCCTACAAAGGTAGCCCAGTGAGGGTGGGGTATCCTAACTGGGCCCATAATGCTGGATAAGGGGAGGATAATGGAATGAAGACTGGGATAGCCTAGATGCTGGATCAGCAATGCCGTGTCCTGCAACATTTTGTTGCGGTGGTCATAGGTTCTGCCTTAAACCCGTTTCCATTAGGCTCCAGCAAAATTGCACAAAACCTGACTGGTCTGGGTAACGCCAGAGAGGCGTCTTTTCCTTGTGGTATTAAGTGAAGAGCACGCAGCCTGAAAAGCAGGCGACTCACCGGATTTGTTCATGAGGCTCCGTAGTTCACTTTCGATGCCCCACTGCTTCTCCTCCAGCTTCTGCTGATTCAACCTGCCAGTGACGGAAACGGGAAACAGCAGTAACTGTACATTCGCACCCGGGCCGCTTCAGGTCTGTGCCATTCAACGACTGGCCACTAGAGGGAGACCCTACTTCATCATACTGCCCCCAAATGGGCAAAGTTGGGACTGTGCCCAGGCTGGGTGGGTAGCTCTCCAGATGCCTGGAACTTCAGTTCCCAGAAGCCCCTGCAAGCACGGCCAGCAGTCAGGAGGGCCGGTGGGAAGAAGCAGCCCTTTGCTGCGTCCCCCAACACCGTGCCGGCAGCCCCCACCTCACTGACTCGTCCTGGCCTGGCCTTATTATCAGTCCTTTCTGGCTCGGCCTGCTCAGCCCCAAGCTCTGGTTTGGCCTGCACGATCCTCTAATCGAAACCAGCCAGCCTGTTTTCTCTCTGGTTCCGTCTCCCCAGCTGCCAAACCCCCCCTCCCTGCTTGATGCCTTTCTTCGTTCCAGCACCCCAGCTTGAGACTTCTCAGCTCCTGGGCAGCCCCAGACTCAGCGCCCCCCAGACACGAGAAAGATGCTCAGCGAGCACAAAAGAGCCAGCCAGATTCGGGCCCGATCCCCCGCCCCTGCTGGGGAATCAGACCCGGCCAAGGGCCAAAGCGACCCCGGCCTTCCAGGTTTAAAGGAGAGGCAACATTCTCACGCCGCAGGACCGCAAACCCCATCCCAGCCGAAACGTGACGGGCAAGACGCTTCTGCCTTTGCTCACTTGTGCATCAGCTCCGACTCCCTCCTCAAGAGGAGCTGCTTCTCATGGATCAGCTTGAACCATTCCACCATGAGGGCGTCCTCGGTGTCGTCTGCGGACAAGAGAAAGGAACGGGAAGGGCCACACTGGGCCTTGTCCCCCAGGGGCCCAACAGAGCAGGGGCCACGGCTTCAGCCACGCTCGCTTGGGTGTTTTGCAAAGATTCCCAGGGATCCATCGTGGCCAGAAAAGGCGCAGGGACGGGGCATGAGGCTAGTATTTACAGCTGCCGTGTCCCATGAGGACTAGAAAAGTGTGTTCTCTCTCAAAACAAGTGCATGGAAGGTCAAAGGATGGGTGGGGAGAGCTCCTCGGAGGCCCTGTTTACTCTTGGATATGCAAAACAATTTGAGGAACATTTGGGGCTGCAAGAGGCAAACTTGAGCCTGAGGGTGAGAAATTTTGCAAGCCATCTTTTAGCATTGGGATGGCATAAAAACACTATAAATGAATGAATGAATGGGAAGCATTTCTGAACAGAATCTGATGGTGCTGAAACCGAGAAGACCAAGCATGGGAGACGCCCCAAGGAAGCCACCCGAAGGTGCGTGACACACACAACAGCGAGTCCAGAGAATCCACACTCGCAATTCGGGTTCTGCGGACACGTGGGCCTCCTTACCTCCCTCGCAGTTCCTTAGATGCTTCTCCATATCCACCCCCTTCAGCTCGAGCTTGTCCAAGTCTCTCTCGATCTGCCGGAACTCCTTCTGGATTTCTTCCTCGGGGATGTAATCTGGGTGCAGCTGGGAGGAATGAAGCAAGAGAAACTGAGGACAGACCAGTCGTGCCCCCACCACTGCTAATGCCAGGACACTTCTGGGGGTTGATGGCTCTTCCGCTAGCCTCAGAGGAACCCTGCGAGGTAGGCCATGTTGCAGGAGCATGGCTGGCCCAATCCATGCTCCAGCAAGGCACACTGGCCCTGCGCAGCGCCGCCTGATGCTCTCTCCAGCAGCGACCAAAGAAAAACCCTACATCTCCTGGCGGCCAGCAGGAGAAGAGAAAGGTGCCTGTTCGGGCAATGCAGGAGCATCGATCGATAGCCAGCTGCTGCCTTTCAAGCCAGCTCAGGCGGCTCCCTCACTCCAGCTGGGCCCACCGTGGCCTTTCCGTGGCCTTACCCTTGACGGAGACACCACTTGACCACTCGGGTGCTTCGGGAAGGCTCTAGGCGATGCTGGTCTAACTAGAAAGGAAAGGAAAGGAAAGGAAAGAGAAACCTCTTACAGGGGGTCTGGTGGTGCTCCATTCAGACCTGCCCAAGGCTCAAGAACGGCCCGGCTTTTGGCCCACTGCCCCATTCTATAGGATCCAAGAGCACAAGAGGCATGGACTTTTCGGTCGTGGCCTCCCACAGGACCTCGCTCCCCTGGGACTTTCACTTTACATAATGGATCGGGAAGGCCTGCATTTTGAACGGGGTGACTGGTTTTAATCGCTGCGCTTTTGCCGGCAGGCTGTTTCGGTTGCATCTTGTCATTTCACAGATCCTGCGAAAGGTGGCATTAAAATGTTTGCGATGCAGGCAGGAATGCGCGGCAGACCTCGGATGTTCGGGAGGCAATCTTAAGGAGGGTCAGGCAGAGAAAGTAGGCGAACGTCCTGGCGGAAGAATGCCGCAGAACGCGAGAGTTTTCTGCCCAGGCTCGCTCAGGACTGCTCCTTTAGGGTCAGAGTAGCTGAACAGGATCACACAGGTTCACACAGAGTCTGACTGCATGTCATGCAAAGCAGCTTTCCAAGTGGGAGCCCCTGAGACGTGCAGGACTACAACTCCCATTGGCCACGATGGCTGTGGATGATGGGGGCTCTGGTCCCACACCTTTGCGGGGCACCCGTCTTGCGAAGGCTACAGAAGTAAATTTTACTCACAGATGCCTATACCAGGACAAGCGTTAGCTTTTCTTCCATGCTGCAGATACACAGATAAGAATGTAGGGGACTTTTACGTATTCCCAGCTGCTGGTTGAGATGGCTAATTTGTCCCCACGCTCCTTTTATTTGAACAGAGGTAACTTTACGTTTCTTTGTGTTTTATCTGTGTGGTTGCTCGCCCTCTGACTTTTGCTGCACGCGTCTTGCGGTAGGGAAATTCCTAAGAAGCTTACCGGGTGCCACGGCCCGTTTTGGTGGTCCCGGCACATCCAGCTTCTGGGTTGCGGAATGATCTTCCCATTGCTGCCGCGTCTTCTGCCAGCCGCCAGAAATATCCAGAGGGGGCACCAATAATTTCTTCTTTTTGGGCTGCTCAGACGACGGTGCTATGGGGAAAAAACCCCAGCCATCAGTGCAATGACTTCCCTGCCAGCAAAGCCCACGAACAACACCCACCTCTTTGAGGAGCAAATGAAACATTCTAGATTTTTCTTCCACAACCCAACCAGCATAGCAGGTGGAAAGCTGCCCTGAAAATGGGAAGGAGGTGGAAAAGAGCTGTGTCCCTCCCGCCTCCGCATCCATAAGGACCAGTGACTTGAAAATTAAAATTAAGAATCGACCCTGGTCTGTCATTTGTGAATCCATTTGTGTTTTCCTCACCCACTCACATGCCGGCACCGAGGCAGATATCTTTCTGTGTGCACCCCCCCGCCACCAAATATCCCCAAGGATTTCGCCTAACGTAACGCATTTGTGAGCTCTTCGCCTGTCAAATGTACATTTGCCTACACTTTTCCTTATCCGACACATTTTTCTGTGCATGGTTTCATTTGCAATCCAGAGCGTCGCCGCGCCTCTGTGTTACCGTGCGAATCTGGGGAAGGGCAAACTTTGGAAATAAGATTCAAATGCAAACCCAACAAAGTCTCCCGCTGTCCAAAGCCATACCGACATCCTGGATGGCTGGGGAGGTCACCGGACGCGTCGGCTTCTTGTCATCCTTGGCAGGGCTCAGATCGATGTTGACAGCCACCTTGTGGGCTTCCGCGGGCTTCTGAGAGGCTCCGGCATCCCCCTGGGTGGCGACTCTGCAAAGGGACGGGAGCGAGCAGTTCATCAACATTTTGTGCCGATAAAAGCAGAATTACGCAGGCTGTGCCGATTATGCAAACGGAACCGGGCAAATTAAGCCATGCATAATGCGCATCATTTATTCCGCAGAGCCCTGACTGCCGAAATCCTACCCAGTCGCCCCTCCGGCTGACGCAGGTTTGCCACGCATTCCTGACTACGTATATCTGAGACTTAACCCTTCAGGACTGGGAGCTTCCTTTTTTCTTCAGAAAAGGCAGATAGGGCCAGGATGCAAAAGTTGCCACTAAGTGCCAAATTCTATGCATGCCAGGGGAACTGAGGCCTTTCGGAGGACTACGACACCCATCGCCCCCCACATGAACCTTGTTTGCTGGGACTGATCACCTCTGGCGATCTCCTGCTCCGAGCCTGTATTGATGAGGTAGCACAGCCTTCCCAAATGCGTTGGGACTACAGCGCCCATATCATCCCCAGCCAGCGTGCCACCTTCTGGTGGGGCTTGTCAAACCATAGATCCCCTCCCCCCCAGCCAGCACAGCCCCTCTGGGAGCACGCCTGCTGGGCTACAATTCCCATCACCGCAAGGACGATGGCATTGTTGCGCGACATATCCAGGGAGGACCGCAAGGCCGGTGGAGGAGCTTCGGCTAGGAGAACGGCTCCAGTTGCCAGAGCAAACATCCCATCCGGGAGCAAAATGTTTGTGTGCCCCCAGGCCTGGCCCTGGCGGGGACTCACCTGTTGGCCACGGGCTTCAGCCTCGCCCTCCAGTCCGACGGGGCCTCCGGCTTCTCTTCCGTGGCCCTCGCGCCCCCTGCTAAACGAGAAACACTCGCGTGAACACGGAGCAAGCCGAGGAGGCGTTTCCACGCTCCACGCGGTTCATCGCTCCGCCGTTCAAGCCGCACGGAGCAGGACCGAGTGTGCAAACCCTGGGCGAAGATGCAGGTGGGCCCGCCAGGTCCCAGGGTTTACGGAATGGAGATCTTTGACCCAGAACCTGGGGTGTTGAGCGCGTTCCTCCTTGCCCTGAACAGTATGTCTAACGGGGAATTCTGGGAAAACCAGAACGAGAGTCACTGCGCGTGGCTGCCAGCATCCCCTCGGCAGCCGCTACCACCCAAGAAAGGGGAACACAGAGGAGGAAAACGGGGGCATTCCTCCCTCGAAGCGTTTCTCTGCAAAGAGGCGGGAAGGGAAGCCACCCAGGCCTGCCTTGGCTCCTGCGTCACGTGTTCCAGGAGGAATCCTCCCGGCTGCTCCTGGATGGCCTTTGCCTGCGGACCTTCCAGTGGAGTCCGAAAGCAAGGCCACGCCGTACCTTTGCCGGCCTTGGCGTCCTGTTTCTGTCCGGAATCCACAGCTCGGACAAAGGGCTGGTCCCTGGCTCGGTTCTGGGCAGGCGTCCCTGTTCCTGGCTCCTGGGCTGCCTGTTTGGCCCCCGGCAGCGTCCCCGGCGAGCCCCTCACTGGTTTCTCCACGGCGGGCAATGCCTGGGCGGGCCTGGGGATGGGGTTGGCAGAGGCCTTCTCTGGCTTGAGATGCTGTGAGCCGGAGGGCGCTGCGCAGGGTTTGCTGCGGCAGATGAGAAAGAGCGTCTACACGGCCCCTTACCTGGAGGAGTCCTGCAGGATGAGGCCCGAGGGCCATCTGGGGCCAGCCGGCTGCCCACGGAAACCCACAACAGAGCCCTCTCGCCCATGCTCCCCAGCGGCTTCCTCGCACGCAGCCAATCCAGGTGACTGCAGGATGTGCGATTTTTAGCTGGCCACTGGAGCAGGTTCCCGCCAGAGCTCCACCCGGGCAAGCAGCTTACCTGCTGGAGGACAGGAACCTGTGTGATGCTCCGGGCGAAGCCCCGCCAGACACGGGTATCGATCGCGGGAGCGCGTGCAGAAGGATGTTCCGTGCCCGGTCCTTCTCGCTGTTGACCGGAGGCGTGCTTTGCACGGGTGTCTCAAGAGCGGATGCCTTCCCAGTCCCCGGAGAGGGCTTGTAAGCCACGCCGTGATGCTTAACGGGGTCGGCTCTGTCTGCGGGAAGGCCCAACGTCCCTAAACCCACCTGGAAAAATTTCTCTCGCGCCTGCTGTGTCTTTGCCGCGGACGCTGTCCAGGGTGCGGGAGGAGGAGAGGCCGAGGTTTCGCGGGGAACGGATTTATTCCCAGCAGGGTCCGATCGGCGCAAGTTCGGGCTCGCAGCAGAAAAGTGGGGCTTGTTATTCCCAGAGTCTGACGGTTCCTTCACGGCTCTTTGGGTAAAGTCCGTGCTCTTGAACGCTTGGCTCGTTTTTATGGATTCGGGGGCTGGCTTTCTGGATTCCAGTCCCTTTGAGCAAAGCCCTGAAGTGGGTACGGTAGTGGCAGGTTTATTCTCCCGAGCGACATCCTTCGGAGTGACAGGCAAGGAATTTGGAGGTTGTGCCGGGTGTTCATGCTGGGTGCAGATAAATGTGCCGGGGTCGTTCCCAGCCTTGTAGTTCCCAGGCTTCAGGGTATTGGAGCACTGCTTGCACCTAAAGCAAAATTGCACCGAAGAACAAACGCTTCACACTGGGTCCGGTACTTGCTTACTCCACCATCCTGAGATTCTATGCTTTCCCAAAATTAGAAGGCAAAGTTTCTAGCCCTTATTGAGTTTGTGTGCTCAGGGAAGATTACTTCATTTGATATAATTGCAACCTGCAGTTAGATGGTGGATGCTCCCTCGATGGCATTCGAGACATTTCATTCCTTCCCTGTTCATTCATTTTCAGCCCAATTCCCAGCAGTCCAAGAAAAGCACCATGAGGGGTGAAAAGCCCTTAAAAGTGCAGGATCCCCAGTGAGAACCAAGCGAGATGAATGATGCCAGAATTCTGGCCTCCTGTCAAGGAAAGGGGGCAGTAAAAAACCGACAGGGCAGGGAGAGGGTGAAACGAACTTCTGTCATCTCACACACGGAGCACTCCATCCTGTGGCAGGTTCCCTTTCTATGGATGCAAACTCAATGAGGACTAGAAATTTTTTGTTTTAACATGCCGGCACTGCACACGAAGACAGCTGGCACACACCAGGTGGGGGAGATGGCTCCTGCTGGGGCAAGCAACCCGGTTCCCCCCAGATGGTCGGGCTGCAATTCCCACCGGCATGGCTGACAGTCGGGAATGCTGGGACCTGTTGGCTGGAGGGTGCCAGCTGCCCGCCTCTGCTCTTACCCCATCGCCAAACGGGACACGCACGACACACCTGGGCCCGTTCCAGGGTGATGTGCGGCTTGTTCATCACCCTGATATAAACTCCAGCCCCGCACCCCATGGGCAGGGGGTGAGAGCAGTGGGCCCGGGCACCGAGACCCATGGGGACCCCCGCCCTCGTCCGGAGCCCCATGCCTGAAGCAGCTGCGGTGGTACAGCTTCCCGTCCAGCAGCAGCCGCTGCACCAGGTGAACATGGCCTCCACACACAGAGCAGTTGCTGTTCCGCGTGCTGCCGTTCTCCGCCAGGATCCGTCTCTGCGGGAGAGAAAAGCCAGAGGAGCGCGGCCCTCGTCAAGGGGCGAGTGGGACCACGGAGCCGCCAGGGGCCGTTTCCCCCGCTGCCCGTCGGCTGCCACTGGCAGCAAAACTCGACGCGCCGATCCGAGGGTTTTGCCGTGAACCGAAAGAGTGTGGGGCGAGACGTGGGGCACCGTCGGAGCAGAGGACGCGGACGGCTCGATTTGCACCCGGCCTTTCAGCCAAAAATGGCACGTGGGGCAGTTTAGGCTCGCAGGCTCGGCAATGCCTTGAGACGCAGCGAAAGGTGTGACGCCACGCAGCTCGAGACGAAGAAGCCGCCGGCGAATGCCAGCCGGCGTGGCGGGAGGGCCTGCCACGGCCCCCGAAGCTGAGCCGGCGGGACGCTGCGGCTTCCCATCCGCCCGAGCGGCACAGGGTCCCCCATGAATGAAGGAGCCTTTGTTGCCCGGCTGAGCCCAAGCACCAGCGTCCTGGGAGAGAGAAGCAGAGCCCCTTCCTCGGGACAATAGCTGTGCGTTGTGCGACACAACTGTGCCACAACTAAGCCGTTATGACAAAGCATTTGGTCCGCCCGGGCATATCGCTGGATCAGCCTCCAGGCATCCATCAGCCTTTCTTCACCTCGCTTTTTTCTTTAAATAAAGGCTGGGGAACCTGGAGCCCTCCCGGGGACTGCAGCCCCCATCGCCCCTACCTCTGTTGGCTGGGGTTGATGGGAACCAGAATCCAACCGCCTCAGTAGGACCGAGACTATTCAAATTTTGCTTAAGCAGAGAGATGCCCAGGGCTCCGCCGCTCGTCTCCCTTGCTGAAGTGGGCGACAGCGGCAAGGCCCAGAGATCTGCCTCCGACAGAGGTCAGCAAGCTGAGAGCATCACCAAGGCGGAAGCAGCCGTACCCCACTGCCGTCTGCTTCGAGCCTCTGCTATTCAGATAGCCTGCCCCTGGCCAGGGAGGCTCTGATCTCAGATACCCAGCCTATCATCTCTTCATAGGGCCCCCCGCCCCCCCGGCCTGCATCCATCGCAGGCAGCTCCACCCCCAGGGCCAAAGAGAACGGCTGGTGCGTACCGCTGCCACGGGGGCATTCTGCTTCACGGGGCTGCGTCCCTGCGAGGTGGGCTCCGCCGTGGGCTCAGGCTTGCGGGGAGCTGGAGTCACCGGCCTGGGAACAGCCTTTTTCCCGGCTGGCTCCTCGCTGGCTTCCGAAGGAGGGCGCTTGATCCCGGCCATGCCTCCGACTGTCGAGAGGGGAACGCGCCAAGTTAGGAAGCAGCCAGGAAAGGGTTACATTCAGGTGCGGTCTGCCTTAAGGTGACAGGAGTGCCCATGCAGAGTCTGGAATACCTGCAGGAGCCTTTCACGTGAGAGAGAGCAAGAGTGAATGGGGGCGGGGGGGCGGGGGGGCATAAATAATTTTTCAGGCACCTGCACCATCTACTGGGTTGCTAATTGCATCACAAAACCAATACGGAATACAAGCTATTTTAACCTTAATTAATACTGCTCATTTTCGATCCTGGCCCTATAATCCGAGACATTATCGATTTTTAAATTGGCTCGGTGACATTGTATTTGTTCACGGTTTAAGTGCGTCGATTCATTTTTGCACTGTCCTTCCATGCTCACACATGGCAGTTTATAGATATTTCCTCTTGCAGCTATCCAGGCGGGATAGAAATGCAATCGACAGTCATTATATTCGTCACATTTAAATATACATCCAATATACATATATTTTTATCTAGACCCCGAATATGAATCTCCTGTTCAGTTTTCCAGCCAGGCTGTTTTTTTTCCCAGTTTTGCAGCAGGAGTAGGGAACCCTCTTAGTGCTTTAGACTATAGCTCCCGTCATCCCCAGCTAGCCACAGCCGAATATCAGGACAGAGCAGGTCAAGGAGGGCCGGCCTACCTCACAGGGTGGGCGCATGGACAAACAGAGGGGAGGGGCCTGCGGGGGCTCCTCGGAAGGTTTGGCTGTGCGTGGCCAAACCCCAGGGCAAGCAGCAGCTGCGATTTCACCGGACATCATAAATAAAGAAATAAGCGCCCGCTGTTTCTTAGTCGGCAGCTCCAGACACACACACGGAGGCAACGATTCATGGGCTACCAAGAGCCCCAGAGCCGAGAGGTCACTGCCAGCAAGAAATCTGGGGGCGCGCTCTTTGCCGGCCACAGATCCGGAAGTACATGCCCACCCCACAGTTCCCGACATGACACGAACTGGAGCGGGGCTGTCGCTGTCGCTGTGATGTAGTGGTTAAGAGCATGGGACTGGGACTCAGGCGATCCAGGTTCGAGTCCCCGCTCAGCCATGGAGCCAACCGGGTGACTCTGGGCCAGTCACAGACTCTCAGCCCAACCTACCTCACAGGGTTGTTGCTGTGGGGATAAAATGGAGGAGGAGAGATGATGTAAGCTGCCTTGAGCCCTTTGTAGGAAAAAGGCAGGATATAAATTGCAATATAAATAAATAAATAAATATAAATGACGTGCTGGGAATCTTCCCTTGGGAGCTGGAGGAATAAGCGCTCCGGCTGGCACAGGTCCCACCGTCGGTGGAGACGCCGGTCAGCCGTCTCTGTCCCGGCGTCTGAAGACAGGGCAAGAATGCAGGGAGGAAGGGCAAAGGGAAGAGAGCACCTTGGGTTTTCCGCTGCTCGGGGATGGGTTCCAGAAGCGGGGAGGAATCGCGGGAATGTCAGTCTCCTGTTCCCAAGGACGGCTTAAAGGCTCCACGAGCAAACCAGCCTTAGACGTACAGGTGCAACTTCTGCATCGACTGTGCAGTTCGTAAGCTCCTGCTACTGACGGAGCTCCTAACGACCCTTGCGCCGGCTCACGGCATCCTGCTTTTCATTAAAGCTTTTGCAAGACCGGCAATGCTCAATAAGCAGCAGCGAGCGATGTGGGGGCCTTAAAACCATCCCGAAGGCAGCGGGTGCGGTTTTCCCTAATTGCGTCCTAACAGCAACCCTGCGAGGTAGGCTAGGCTGAGGAAACAGAGGTCCCCAAGGTTGTCAAGGAGCTGAGGGGGAGTTAAAACTGTGCTTCTCCTCCTCTAACTACCAAACTCCATTTGGCACCCCCAGGCACTGGCGTAACCGTTTGATCTTGGCATCTGATATGCCCCCTCACCGCTTGAGATCAGCAGCAGATGCCCTTCTCTGGGAACCCTCTGTGAATGGTATTAGGAGGGTGAGTACCCGGAGGAGGGCTTTCTCTGCGGTGGCACCCCGCCTATGGAATGCACTCCCCAGAGAGGTCCGCCTGGCGCCGTCGTTATTTGTTTTTCAGCGCCAGGCTAAGTCCTTTTCATTTAAGACTTATTTTAATTGCTAAATTATTGTATTTATTAGGATTTTAAATTAGCCGAGAATGCACCGGGGGGTTTTAAATGTTTGGGGTTTTTTGTATTTTTTGTGAGCCACCCCGAGGCTTTGTTGCGATGAGGGCGGCACAGAAATGTTTTAAATAAATAAATCCAATTAAATATATTTTAGCTGCTGAACTGGAGAAACCATGCGACATAACCCTCTGCTTGGTTTTCTCGGAAGGAATGCAGCTTTAAGCACCGTAAGTAAAACCACAAAAGATAAGTTCTCTGCCCCAGACTGCTTGCAATTTTGACAACTTGGTTGAGCTGGCAGGGAAAGGCAGGCATAACGATATGATTAAGAGGAGAATCGGGATGGTTAGGGAAGGATGGGAACTAATATTTTGTATCTAATGGCGAGTTTAACACACACAGGCCAAATGCATGGCCTTATTTCACGTGCCATCCGATCTCGATGTGGAAATGTGGTGTCTGGTGCAGAACTCCGCCTCTAAAGAGTTTGAGGTATCAAGTTTCTAGTCCTCCTGGTTATGGAGATAAGCAGGAAACTAGTGACACCTGAGAAAGCAGAGGAGTTTCGGTTTGGCTTGCGTGAACTTTGTCTTGAATAATCTCGAGAATGCCTGCTGATAGCGCAACGAGTACGACGCACCAGACCAGAGCACGAAACTTAACGAGGAGAAATTATCTAAGGTGCTCCTGCTCAGGAACTCTGATCCCTGGATTGCAGGAGCTGGGCTCTTTAATACTGACTTATTAGCCACATGCCTACATGGGTGGATGATGCAAGGGTGTGCCTGCTTACCACAACACACAACACAAGTCACAAATGTGCACCTGCGGGAAGGCGTCTTTGACGGCAGCTCCTGAAACTGCGAGAGGCGATGGATCCGCTCGGCAACACCGTCTGCCTCCCCATTTCCCACGCAAGAAAAGATCAGCACAGAGGCCGACCGAGTTCGATCTAGGTCTGGCATCATTTCTGTGTGTGGTAGGAACCAGTCCGATGCAGCGTGTGGCAATCAGGGGTCCACTGCCCCTTGCTATGGAGGCTCCATTTCAAATTGACAAGGCTTTTCCTTGAAAATACCTGTTGCCCACCATTCAGGCAGGTGCCAGGCAAGAACGATGCACCCCTGACAAACACTCACGCAGCAATAAAAAGAGCGTAAAAGCGGCAACCGCAGCAAACATTCGTAAAAGCAACTAACTCCTACACCAAATCAATGTTGCAACAGTTGAGCCAGTGCAGTGTCGTGGTGAAGAGCGTGGGACTGGGACTCGGGCGATCCGGGTTCGAGTCCCTGCTCGGCCATGGAGCCCACTGGGGGACTTTGGGCCAGTCATAGACTCTCAGCCCGGCCTACCTCACAGAGTTGTTGTTGTGGGGATAAGATGGAGTAGGAGATGGACGCTGCCTTAAGCCCTTTGTAGGAAAAAGGCAGGATATAAACCGAAAAATAAATACACGAATAAATAACCGCAGCCACTGCCAGCTCCACTAAAACAGAGAACGGCAGCAAGCTGGCAGCGCTTTCCCAAAAGGCGGCAAAACCTGGCAGGTTCTCTGGCGCATCCCCAGCTCTGTGGCTAATAGGACAAGTCAAAGAAGCAGCTTCTATCCACTCGTCCAAAGAGCTAAACTTTGGGCGCATTTACACTACCGGAAAAAAGTAAACTAGAGCTCAGCAAAGCAGAGAAGCAGGGAGAACTCAACTCACTTGGCGACTTTCCGTGGAAGTAATTGTAATACTGGGAGACATAGGTCAGGATGCTGAGCCTGTCCGGCACCTTCAGCGCCACCATGTCCTCGGCGTCCAGGAGAGCAGGGATCCCCAGCTCCGACTCAGCCACTCGGAAAGCCTAGCCGAAGGAACGGGAGAGACAAGATCCGCTCTTTCTTCACGGGGCAGAGACGGTCACCGCGGAAGGCCGCGTCGGGGTTCGGGGTCTGCGGCCTTCCGTCATGGTGAGCCCAGGAGCGGCATGATCTTTTGGCCCTCGGGGGACACGGGGAGACTTCACGGACTCGCACGGGAGATATGGGAAGGGCCTCTCTTGCGGGCGCTCCTCCGTCTCCAGCTGTGTGAGGCAGCGCTGAGATCAGAAAGGGGTTTTCAGCTTGCTGCACCAGCTAGAAAAACTCTAGGCAGATTTCGTATTTCCAGCTGCACCAAAGCAGAGGGCTGGTGAGCAGCCAGGAATGGCTTGGAGAATGGTTTTGGTAGCCCCAAGATTTCTGGGGTGGGAGAATTCTCCTGGGCTGGGGTTTCTCAGTTGCCCCAGATTTCCAATTTCTACCCCCAGGCCCTGAAATGATCACATGCAAATAGTTGGAAGCCTACAGACCGTCCAGAGCCTTCCAGCTACTTTAAACACCACCCATCTTGAATGCATTACATGTTTACAAAACCAAGGAAAGGGGATCTGTGCATATGCATGAAACTTCTGGGTTGCAGATTCTTTTCTTCTCCTCCCAATTTTTATTAGCACTTGGCCCAGGATGGCTTTTTCTGTTGTGTTGTTTTGGCTTTGTGTCAGCAAACACATTCCCCCACAAACACATTTTTTTAAACCCCATATAAGGCAAACTGCAGACGAGGACAGCTTTTTCCTTCCCCAGAAAGAATTAAACAACAACAAAAAGAATAATTTCAAAAATAGAGAGAGAAAGAGGACTTCCATCCCAGAGATGAGTGTAGGTTGAAACAGGAGTGGAAGGAAGCAACTTTGGACAACGGAGACTCCACCCACGGCTTCAGGCCTCACCTCACAGCAACCCAGGTCTTGTGAACGGATGCGGGTTCGGTTGACTAAGATGGGAGCAAGGATGCAGAGCAGCAAGAAAAGAATCTTGCATAATAGAAGACTAATTGGATTGCAGCAGGTCATAGAGAAAGCCATGGAGCAGACAAGCGAGCGAGATGGGTTGGCCCCACCAAGAAGCCCCGGGGATGGAGGTTTCCCTGGTTTCAAATCCCCCAGTACCAGAACATGGGGGATGTACAGCCAGAAGGGCGGCTTTCAGATCGAGGGAGGTGTTGATGCACAACTCTGGTGTGCCGACAACCGGAATCCTGTGTCCAGTTCTGGACTCCAGATTATAGGAGAGACATGGCTAGGTTAGAATCGGTTCAGTCCAGGATCGCAAGGACGGGAGGGATGGCGAATGAGGAGAGACGGAGGGAACGGGGTCTTTTCAGCCTGGAGAAGAGGAGACTCCAAGCCACCTTTTAGCGACTTCTAGGTACGTGAGCGGATGTCATGTGGAGGAGGGCTGTTGAGGGCAGGACCCGTTCCAGTGGGGCAAAGCTCAAGGAACCAGACTTTGGGTTGGATGTCAGGAAGCACTTCCTGGTGGTTAGGACCCCTAGGATATGGAATGGGCTTCCAAGGGAGGAGGTAGAGGGCCCATCAGTGAGGGTGTTCAAGGAAAGATTGGACAACCAGAAGTTGGGGATTACATGAGTGAAGCCGGCTGGAGCCGGGGGTCAGACTAGATGACCCAGGAGACCCCTTCTGATTTATTCTATTTCTGTGCTTCCATGTAACATGAAGTCCTCCAGTGAACACCAATGGGCAGGAGAGTCAAGAAACCCAGCATCACACAATGCCGGCTCCCTCGAGGGTAAAAGCAGAGGGCTCGGGCCCTTGCTGGGCGACCTGCATCTCTCAACTGCAGGGTTATAAGCCTGGACTTGAAAAGAGGTGCTGGGGCCGCCAAAGTGAAAAGGCCGATTTTCCTGGCGCATCCTACAAACTTTTAGGAAAGCTGCACGGGGCAGAGCTTTGAGGACGGCATGTGAGTGGTGCCGTCTTCCCATGCCGGTTCGAGGGGCCGACGCAGCCAGGACACCACCCCCAGGGTTGTGCCGAACAGCCGGGAAATGCAGGCCGGCCACCCGCGCCCGGAGCGGAAGAATGCGAAGCTGCAGCTCATCTCTTCTCAATGGAAAGCAGCCACATTCCATTCTGGAAGCCTCCGTCCCACGCTCGGATTTCTGGAGCCGGCCCAGAGCTGATGGGTGGCCCATTCCCCTTTGGAAAGCGTCTGCAGCCCACCCGCTTCCACACACACCTCCCCTCCCCTCCCCTCCCCGAAATGGCTCAAACAGCCAGACGTTCGGATGCAGCAAAGCCAGCAAGGCTGCAGTGAGTCACCGGCGAGGCTAGACTCTTGGACGAGGGTTCGAGGTGCCTGGATTCAAATCTCACCCCACCCAGCAGGGCGACTCTCAGCCTAACACACTGCCTTACGTCACAGGGTAGTTTGCAGAGATAAATCGGGGAGGAGGGCCACCTCTGATGCTCCCAAGTCCTTGGAGGAAGGTGGGCTACGTTGCCCCAAAGGGACCTTCACAGCCGGCATCAGAGAAGTTCCCTCCCAAAAATGTTTGCATAGGTTCAGTCAACCTTCCTTCACCGCTAAACAGCCCCAGCCCTAAAAGTGGAGAGCTGCAAAGCCATCTCTGTGAGAAGTGTGTGAACATTAAACTGACCATGTGGAGAATCTTGCAAAGCCAGTTTTTCTAGAGCTCAGCGTGGGGCCGAAAAGGTACATATTTTTTCCTGAAAACAGCTAGGACGCTTTTAGTATTCACCCATGACCCAGTTCTTAATTTCACTTGATCATAAGGCAAACAAGCAATCTAGCCGCAAACTTTCTATTCAAGGCGTATCAACGGCCAGTGCAGACAGAGGGACGAGACACATCTCCTGGCTGTTAAAGGAGTCCAGCTGGAAGAATATGCAAGACTCAAGCACAGCCTGTGCACCCAATCAATCCGATGCGTGCAGAATGCATTTTAAAAACCTGCTTTGTGTACATAAACTTCACAGTCGTTTGCTATCATATTTATGGCCTGCTGGTTTTGCTCTAATCTAATGCAGGGTCAAGGTGTGTGTAGAAGGGATGGGCGCGCGCGCGCACACACACACACACAGAGAGAGAGAGAGAGAGAGAGAGAGAGAGAGAGAGAGACCGACCGACCGACCGACCGACCGACCGACCCCCTCGGGGAATGCTGAGTCCCACATCAGCCCAGGAAGTGAAAGCGGGGTGAGGGCACTTACCAGCTGGTTATTTTCAAAGACGTTTTCTTTGCTAAGAGAGCTGAAGTTTCTGAAACAGAAAGCAAACAACAGGCCGCAGGTTTGTTGCCACACAGGTCAGAATCGTGTACATTTGTCCAGTTTAAATGCTTCCGTGCCCACTTTCAGCACCTCCCTTCCACAGACACCCCTTAACTTCCTCCCGGTGACAGGGCTGGGACCCCAGGGCTGGCCACCCCCAGCTTCCACACAATGCATCTCCCCAGCGCACAAGCACAGGTACTGGTCCAAACTGGGGCCATCTGGGTTCGTGGGGGAGACATTTCCGGTTTCAGAGGCAGGTTTCAAGCTCCTTTGGGGTTTCACTCCCTTTTAAAATCCTTGGAATATCCCGGCCTCCAGAATGAAACCACGTCTGTCTAAGGGCATTCGGGGGGATGGAGACCCCATTGGAAGCGACAGAACAAGGACATGGGAAAGCCCCAGTGAACCGTGGGCCGCTGCCCCTGAAATATGGAATGGGGAGGGGGTTTGCCCTTTCCCTTTCTCACTGCAGCCCTCCAAATCTGGGCCAAGCCTAGCAGATTCCGACACCTCCATTCAGCTCTGGCCTAGACTCATCCAGTATCTGAAGAGGGCAATGAATGCACTCAACACAGTGGCAAGGACAGGAGAGAGGGCAGAGAAAATAGGGGCAAGTCGAAGACCTCCAGAAACCTGGTTTCGCAACATCCAGACAAACAAAAGCAGAGAGCAATCTTACAACAGGGGAATGTTTGCAACAATTTCAGGAAAGCAGCAACTTTCAGGAAGAGGTAACCTGAAGACCAGCACTTTTTTTCTCGGCATGTGGGTTTTTGGGATGGACTCCATTCACCAGATGCTGAGAGCACTGCAGCCCGTTTTAGGCTTATGTGAGGAAAAAGGTGGCGGGGGTGAGGGAAAGGATCCCAGGCAAGTTGGAAGAAGAAACCGACAACCCTATTATTAGTGGTCCTGCGCTGTGCAGCTGTTGCTGGCAACGCAAACATCTTAAGCCAATTAACACATGAGTTGCAATAAAAATTCTTGATCTTGATTCGTGCCCCTGGCAGTACAATTAATTCACCCACCCCCACCATCATCAGGACTGTATAGAAGTGTGAAATTCCCAGTAACACTTAGGAAGCTGATGAAATGGACTTTAGTCCAAAGGTTTATGCCAGGATAAGTTGGTTACCCTTTGAAGTGGGGGCCGCATCCTGTTTTGGAGAAGCTTCTGCGGGAAGGACAAAACCGGAATCAAAAACGCAGGGCGAAAGATACCAGCAAGACCTTCCTGTTCGCACTTAAACTCTGCAGAGGCTTTTTGACTTTTGGAACAGGAAAAGACGCCGCAAAAGCCTGGAAGAAACCCAGTGGCTGGTGGTCTGGGGAAGGGGCTGGGGGAAGGGGCTGCAACCGTCTGGAGGATGCCTCGAGCTCCAAACTGAGACTTCAGGGGGGCCGGATTTGGGCCCACCAGTGCGGCCATCAACTCCACGGGGCGACTGCCCAATTCGGCACCCAAAGTTCTGCATTCGACTGCAGAGCTGCTTGCGGCCAAGGCGGGGGGGGGGGGGGGGGGGGGGGGGGGGGGGGGGGGAAGGGGGCGTCCAGCCATCAAAGCAATCTCAGTGTTCCCTGCAGCCTCGGCAACGGGGGGGCTGCTCCAGGACCCTCAGCGGTTCTCGACCTGGCAGGGACAGCACCCGGCACGGGTGCCTCTTCCCTCCATTCTTGGGGGCCCAGTGCAACGGAAGCAGCGAAATCAAAAGCCCCTCCCCAACACAGTTCATCTTCAGCCTTCCCTCCCCTCTTCCTGGCACCCTGCTTTTCGAGATGCATCGGAGACACTTGCGCATTTCGGTTGGCCTGCCGAAGGAGGGTGACTGGGAAGCTGCCTCCCAGCTGGACGGCGAGGGGGAGATCAACCGGTCCCATACACTGTAAGAACTCCAAAGCAAGGAACCGGTGCCTGAGCGTTGCTTTTTTCATCCTCCCTCCCAACTCCCTTTCCTTTTGTGTTGTGTCTTTGAGACGAGAGCAGGGTGAAAGTTCAGTGAGTAAGTGCAAACAAAGACCTTTAGGAACACGGCTGCCTTGCTTTTCTGGGCTTCCTTGTTTGTTTGCTTAAGAGCTGAACGAAAAAGGCCTCCGTCAGGAAGGCAAGAAGAAGCGGGGCTGGAGCCGTCTGTCATCCGGGGAACGTGAGCTTGTGCGGTTGTGCCAAAGGCGTCACAAGCAGCCAAACCTCTCATTGTCCCAAGCCGGTTCCTGTTTCACGCCCAGACCCAGAGAGCACAGAGGAGATAAAACTTGCGGAGGCACTCGGGAGAGGAAAGCAGCGGGAGAGGGAAGCGGCGGCAGGGCAAAGCAGCCTCCTCCCACGGGGCGTTGGCACCTGGTCATTTAATCCCAGGCGAAACAAGGGAGCCGATTGTCCGCGGCGTGGAGGCTGACTCCATGCTGGGGCTCGCAGCCGCAGTTCAGGTCGGGTTTGGGGAAGCGTGACTCATGCGAGGCGCTCGGCAGAAGTGGCAGGGAACTGGTTCTCTCCCACGGCGGCCCGTTGGGCAACAGGGAGAGGCCGCGGAGCCAGAAGAGGGCCGACCCTTGCTTGCGGCTTGGCCCGTGCCAGACTGGGGAAGAACGCTCTCGGAGCCGGATTGAAAATAATCGCTTCGCAAGCGGTGCAGAAAGGCGCCGCTCTCGCTTTCTCTTTCATGTTCTTCGTGCGCAGTGTCACCACCTTTCACCTGGCCCTGCCCTGAACATCAACAGCAATCCAAGGCATGCAGCGTTAAGTACCTGAAGCAGTTCGGTTGCCCTTGCTGTAGCCTGCTGCTTAACAGCGCGAGAGCCACACGGGGGAGGCAAAGGCGGCAGCCCCCTCCTCAGCCAGCAGTCAGCAGAGTGGCTCTCTCTACTGGGATGCGCAAGCTTAGAAAAACTCTAAAGACAGACAGACGGACAAGACTTGCAAACATTTTTGCTGGCTTCTGCCCCCGCATCTTTAACAAGGCCATGGTTTTTAAGCATTTAGCAAGCAAGGATGCCACTTGAAGTTTAGCATGCTAACGGCCACAGTTTAAGTGGCTGTAAAAGGCACAGGAGCAAGGGAGGAACCCCTTTGTTAGTGACTTGGCAACTTGCTGAGCTGATTTCTAGGTGGGGAGAACTGAAGAAAGGGGTCAGCTAAGCAGCCGTCTTCAGAGCGGGAGATGGAAGGTGGATCCAGCTGGCTGGGCATGCTGAGAGCTGCAGGCCCTTTTTCCCTGCCTAAACATGCATCGGACACATCCTCAGTCTGAGCAGGGCCGACTTTGCTCCTTTGTAACTATGCACACAGATGTGTTGTTTGCGGTAGGCTCCCCACGAGAAGCAAACAGCCAGGGCTCGGTCGAGGTTTGCCGCTCCCGGATGTGGGGAAAGTTTCGGCCTCCCTGCAGAGATACCGAGCTGCGATGCAGGAGTTCAGAGCTTCTCTCTGCTGTAACCTCATCAGCAGGCCAACGGTGTTACTCAGTCTGTAATATGGGATGACCGAAGCAGAACTACCTCACAGGGCTGTTGTTCAATTACAGAGAAGATGCAACCTGACAGCTCTGGATGAGGTCCCTGCTGCACAACACAGGCCCATCCGACTTGACCTCCGAACCACGTGCTGCAAATGTCAGGGCATCACGCTGGATGGCGCTGAGTGGGACAGACGGGCCGAGGGCCCCTGCTGCTTCCAGCCCCGGCGGCCACGGAAATGGCAGCCCATAATGAAAGAAGGGAACCCCGGAGCAAACAGGGCCGCTCTTTCTGTGAGCCCCACGCCCCAGCCCGCTGCAACCGATCGCTCCCATCTCAGCTGGCGTGTAAACAGGCCCTGTGTGTCAGGCCTGTTAGCGAAACAAGTCCAAACATCAGTGGCGGCAGCCGGGGGGGGGGGGGGGCGTGTTTCCGACTCTGCAAGCAACTGTTTGCATTAACTCCGCTTTCCAAATCATCTCTTCATCGGTCGCTTGAGAAGAAATGCAGGCTTTTGAACAGCCACCCACGCATGAGCAAGACCGGGGCAGGGCTCCAGGGTATTTCCAGAGAGGGCAGAAGGAAGGGCTGAACGGAGGAGGCCTCTGGAGAGAAAACGGCTGCAATCCTATGGGACGGTCCTGCTGGACGGGCTGGGAAGCAGTTTGCACGGACAGAGGACTGCACTGAGGGCAGCCCCACAGAGCGCCCTTGCCACGAGCGAAGCCGCGAGGAACACGGGGGCCGAAGGAACTGGCTGCAAAGGAATGGCTCTCGCGGGCAGCAGGAACCCGTTTCTCCCCTTCCCCACATTTCTGGGACTCAGAGCTGCCGACTGACCAGAAACGGGCAGCGATCTCCACGCGATGTTTTGCAGCTCAGAGTGGGCACCACCGGGCCCACGACTCCCAGCAGGCCCAAAGCGCTTGCAGCGATGGGAACTGCAATCCAGTCCACCTGAAGGCACTCGTTGGTCTGTTCCCGAAGAAGCCTTGATTGGATCGTGTGCAGAGCAGGAGAATGAAGAGACGCAAGGCAAATCCTGTGGGGAACGGAAGGAGGATCTGGGAATATTTGACTCGGAGGAGAGGAGACCAAGGAGTGGGTAGCCTAGGAAAGCACGCTTTTGATCCGTGAAGAGGGAAAAGATTTGTTCTCCCGGATTTAGATCTAAGGGCCACAAGAAGGGCAGGCTTTGCTTGACCATTCGGAGAAGTGTCTTGACGGGAAAAGCAAGTTTGGAATTGCTGGTCCAGAGCCGAGGGCCTCGGGCCTGACATCTTTGTGGGCCGCATAAGTCCTCGGCATCAGCCACGCCAACCGGCTACTGGGAACTGCGATCAAGCACTTCTGGGGGCCGCAATTCCCACCGCTGACCCAGAGGGAGGGGGTGGGGGGCTCTTCCTGGCTGCAGGGAAGGCTGGACAGCTGTCCTGCAAGGATGGCCCAGCACTCTCGCAGCAAGCGGGGGCCCGGTCAAGCGATTCCCCAGCGGCCCTGCTCCAGTCGTGTCTCACACGGAAGAAAAGCCTGCGTGGAACAACCGGGTGTCATCCCACCTTAACATGCACAGGGCTGCGCCTGAAGGGTGGGGGGCAGCTCAGTCCCACGCTCTGCCTTCTCGGCTTCCGTTCCACGGTCGCAAAGAGAGCGCCTCCTTCCTCACATTCCCAAGTCCCCCCAAAAGGGGCTGCTTCCTTCCGCAACCGTCTGCTCTGGCTGGTCGCAGATGCCCGGGTGGAGACGCGTCTTTCCCATTCCCTGCTGGCCGAGAGGCTTTTCCACCAGAGATTCCGGGGCGGAACGGTGGGCGTCGTGGAGGCGGGGCTCACAGGGCCCGGGCACCGGGACCGTGGAGCAGCAGGGACGGAGGCATCCCGTGACTCCTCGCTCGCCTGTCTCCTGCGGGGCTTCAGTGCAGTAGCTGGGAGCTGAGCTGATGCAAACCGGCCCTCTTGTTGGGCAAAGCGCTTTTGGGTGACTTCATCACGAACGAGTACTTGAGTCATGCCGACTTTTCAAAAGACCAACAGAGGACGGATGTCATGCCCAGACAGAGCATGGCTCAGCACGGCAGCCTGCAACTCTGGATTCTCCTCGGGAGCGTAGCTACGGGATGCTGCCAAGATCGCCTGCATTTCGAAATTTACCTCTGCTGTTCTTCTTCGGTTGCATTTATTTCCCACCTTGTTTCTGCTTGCAAGGAACCCAAGGGCGGCCACGTAGGTGTCCTCCACTCCAGTTTTATCCTCAAAACAACAGCCCTGTGAGGTAGGCCAGGCTGAGAGGGAATGACTGGCCAGTGTCACCCGACTGAGTGGGGAACAGACCCCGGATCCTCAGGCCCTCAGTCCAACACCCTCCCACGCCACTGACCTTCACCCCTCCGGAACAGAACTCTGTGCATGCAAGGGCAGCGCTCTGTGGCGGAGCAACCCCTCTGCTGCCACGGATTTCTGTGCTACCGCGCGTTTTCATATCCTCCGCCCTCATTTCCACTCTCACAGCTTAGTTGATCCTGTTTTGCTCACACTCGCACCTTGGAAAGCCGTTTGGGCGCCTGAGCCAAGCTGGGGGCTGCCGCTCAATTTATTTCTTCATTTAAAACATTTCTATACTATGCCTGTAGCCAGTTGGCTCCCTGGATGGTTTGCAGACATCAAAAAAGCAGGCTGACCGCTCAAAAAGAGTTATATGACCCTAGAGGAGAGCAGTGAAAAATAGTGGTTAGAGCACCGGAAGGGAATGCAGGAGATCTGGGTTCTAGTCCCTGGATCACTTGGGCCAGCTGCAGCCTTTCAGCCTGGCCTACCTCACAGGGTTACTGAGAGGATAAAATGCCCTGGAAAAGAACCTTGGGTGTCTTGGGTTCCCTGCAAGAGGAAGAAAGGCGGGCATAACCACACTGGAGCAGTAACAATTTAAAAAAGGGTCTCTGCCCCACAGTGCATCCACCGCTGCAGCTGAAAGCGGGCTAAACGAGGCACTCGCCAGCTGCCTTCGCCCACCGCTTCTCCCTGGCATGATGCGCAGCTGTTGCAGCCACAAAGCCACACACCGCACGGCCTCAGAGGGGACGTGCAACGTCTGGATGCCGCGAGGCCCAGTCACGCACCCTTGTGACTTCCTTCCTCGCGTGTGACCGACCCGGCGGAAGGAACCCGCAGGGAGCGGAAGGACGACGGTGAGACAGGCCAGCCTGTGTGAGCGGGTGCGGTTTTATCCGGCCCCTTCGTCCCCCTTGCCGTTCCCAAGTCTTTGGCTTCCGCTGTGCGCATCTGGATTCGAAGAGGGAAGGCACTTGGGTGGCGTTACGGAAAGACAAGGCCGCCCTTCAGGCACCCGGGCGCCGCAGTGTTCATAACGGAGGGACGCAGGGGTGCAGAACCTGGAGCCCGTGGGCCAAACCTGGCTCTCTGCAGAACCTCCCCTGCCCACCCCCTTTGCCCAGACCACCGGTCCTTTAGGGAGACTCGTTCCCATTCCCAAGGGTGGAACTGCCTCTCCCAGGATGTCACACTGGCACCAAGCGCTTTGAACACATGGGGGTGCGGGCTGGCATGATGGCATCGTTGTTCTTTCCAGGCACATATTTGCAACCAAACCCAGAATGTTTCCTCCTGCGCCGAACGATTCAGAACCACCGATCTGCCCTTGCTCTGGGAGCCTTCGACCTCCTCCCCACCTCCAGACCAGCGTGGCTTTCCTTGGTCGCCTGTTCCCAGCATCTAGCAGTCCCAGATACACTGCCCCTCACCCTGGAGGCTCCACCTGCCCTCAGGCAGTCACCTGTTCGCAGCAGTGATGGTGACGCTCTCCCCCCTCCCCTTATGTCCTGCGCGATTTGTAGAGGAAAAGGAGCGATTCCGCACGCGTCCCGCAAAAGCTCAGCCTCTCCCCGCGGAGTCCAGCGGCACTCACATGAGCTCCGGCCTGTGGCGGTGCAGGATGGCGCAGAAGGCGAGGCCGTCCCGGAACGAGGTGGTCATGTTCGTGATGCTGACGTCCTTGTACCCCTCGCACTGCTGCTTGCACCACTTCTGGAGGGCTTGGATGGCTGCCATCTTGGGGCGGGCGAAGAGAGCGGGGACCCGGGTGAGGGGGCGTGGGAAGCGGGAGCGCGGCGCCTCCGGGCGGCTCAGGGAGAGGCGCGCCGCGCGGGGGCCGCGGGCGACCCCGCGCCCTGGCAATCCTCCCCTCCGCGCCCGAAGCCCCCCGCCCGGCCCAGCCCAGCCCCGCTCCCCACGCCTGCTGCATACCGCGGGACGAGGAAGGGGCTCCGGGAAGAGCACTCGGTCCCAGCGCACGTGGCTCGGCTCGGCGAGGGCTGGCAGCCGCGTCTCCCTCCCGGGGCAGCCGGGGGCTGCTCAAGGCGGGGGGGCGCGCGGGTCTCCGGAAGCGCGGGGGGGGCCCCCACATCCCAGGTCCGCAGGAGCGGCGCGGCTGCTCCGATCGCGCCCGGGGCGGCGCGCGTAAAGACGCGCTGGCAGGAGGCGGCGGCAGGCAGGCGCTCCCCCGGCGAGCCAGCCGCGCTCGTCCCCCGCCGCCAGCCCGCGGAGACGCCGACGGCCGGATCTCTGGGAAGCGGCGGGAGGAGGAAGCGGGCAGGAGCTCCGGGGGAGGGCGGCGGGAGCCAATGGCCGCGGCGGGGAGCGAGCCGAGCGGCGCCGGGCTCCGCCTCTGCTGCGAGCGGGCGAGGCGGCGGCGGGCCGCGCTCCCCACGCCCCTTCCCCGCCGCGGCGCGGCGCGGTCAGCCCGGCCCGTGGGAGTGCGCGGCCGGAGCGTCGTGGGAACGCGCCTTGCCTTGCCTTGCGCGCCGGCGCGGAGGTCACCTGAGACGCGCCTGGGGCGGCTGCAGCTTTCCCGGTTCTGGTGTGCGGGCGAGCGGACGCAGAGGCGTGGGAGCCCGTGTGTGTGTGTGTGTGTAGGGGGGTTAAGATCCACGTGAGCAGCTCCCCCTCTAGAGTAAAAATTGGGTTGCTGGAAGGCGGTGTAGCTGGCAGTGCTTCCCGTGTGGGAAGCTCATTCGCCCGGTAACTAAAGCTACTCTGGGCGCTTCGCTGCAGGGAAAAATCTCGTGAAGTCTTCAGCCCCATTCATGGCAATGGATCTGCTCGAAGTAGCATTGTCCGTGGCTCCAACCAGCCGAGCCCGTGAAAACATAGCAAGAATCCTGCGAGGGTGGCATGGATTCTTAGCCTAACCTACCCTGCAGGGTTGTTATGAGGATAAAATGGGAGAAGCACCTTGAGGGCCACTGAAGGTCCCTTGCAAGAAGATGAAAATATTAAGAGGAGATGACAGCGATCCCTGCGGGATTAGGCCAAGATCCGCCTAGAGCAGCACTGCATCCACATGGGGCCCTGCAGGCAGATGATCTGTTCCAATATTGTGGGAGGGAAGGACAGACAGACAGACAGACAGACAGACAGGAGAAGCACCCTGCTTGCTTTCTCCATGCTTGGTCCATCTCCGTCCTGACCTTCCTCACTCACCTTTTCCCTACATCAAACAGTGGTGGGGATTGTAACCTTCCCTCCAGGGGAGAGGCCCAGGGCCCTTCCCGGTTGCCCTTTCTTGCGGGTGGACAATAGCCAGCATTACTGCTGTGTAGAGCATGTCCATTGAGATGAATGGGGCTTCCCTTGGTCCTGCCTTCGAGTCCTGCTGTGCCTGTATGCTCTTCCTCGTTCCCCATCAACAGAGGTTTCCCATGTGTTCCCTTTGGAACGCCAGAGCGAGGGGGTCCCAAGAGCCTGGTCTCTGGCCAAGGATTGGTCTCCATCCCTGAGGCCTCGTAGGAGTGTTGCAAGGCTCCCCCGCTCCCCGGCCATCTGTCAGGAGAGCTCTTTCCATTCATGTTCTGTCTTACTTTCCTTTGAACTCTGGGCGGGACAGAGACTTCCTTGCTCCACCTTTCGGTCAATGTAAGTTGCACCATTGCGGGGCCATGTTCGGAGCGACAGGAATAAAATTTCCGGCGCTGCCGGCAGCAGCTCTTTTTGGCTCTTTCTCCCTTGAAGCTCTGCCAGAATAGCCAATGTGTTCTGTCGGCACACCTGAGCTGTACTCTGCTCAGTGCAGCTGCTGCAAAGCCTTCCAAGGGCCCCTCGGCAGGTACATCTCACACGGGCTTGCTCCCTTATTCTGTGCTCTCTCAGACTCTGACAATAAGCCTTTCACAGCTTTAAGGGGGTCGTTGGATTCCAGTCTTACAAAGAAAAAAGTATGATTCAGTGCAAAAAATGTTGGGGGAAGCGTGTTTTTGATTATTCTCTGCTGGGTGCCGTTTATTCCTGGATACAATAAAAAAAGTTCCCAGTTAGCTGCACCCTGAACAAGTCAGCAGTGATGCATCAACTTTTTGGCAAGAAGAATTCTCCTAATCTTTTCTTGCCAACCCGTTCCAGGTTTTGGCAATTCCTCTCCTCAGCCCCACGACTGTGAGCTGTACCACTTCTGTGAATCAAGCTATAAACAACAAAATGTGAAAAATGGTGAGAAAGAACAATTGTTGAAAGCAAACATACAAAATGTGTATTGCATGTTTGTTTTCAACAATATTTTTCATGCAGATGTGCTCTTTTTCTGTATGAACTTCTGCGTTTCGGTGGCAGAGACGGGTCACACCTCAAGTCAGGGTGCCTGGAAGGTTGAACCCACAATGCAAGAGTCTGGATGAAGTTTCTCTGTTGCCGTTGGAGATGAATGGCTGCCATCTTGGTGAGGAAAGGGTTTTCAGGTCCTAATTTGCAGCGGGGGGACTGGTGGCAAATGTGATCCAGGTTTTAGGAATTAAACTAGACCTACTCCCACGGACGGGAAGCTGCATACCTCCCTTTTACAACTTCTGCCATTCCCTTCATCTTCCTCTGTTGATTCTCTGTGCTGAATTTGAGATAAGTTCTCCACTTACACATCTGTGTAGCTCATATTCCAAAGGCATCCTTCTAAACACAAGCCTTCCTCAAACCTGCTGCCCTGTGGGGGTTGGACTACAACACCCATCGTTCTCAACAAGCACGACCCACAGACCTGCAGTCCAGCACACCAGGTTAAAGAGGGCTGATGTACACATGCAGTTTCTCCCTCCCGACACTCCACTTGTGAATCTAGTCATTTCTTCGCAGATTCATCTGGTTGCATTGGCCAGATTGCTTCATAGAATTGGTAAAAAACCTCAGCCGTTCCGCTGATCCCCAGCCCATTCAAACCGTGATGCCGCCTCCCAGGAATCAGAACCATTCCGGGCCAGAGTGGCTCCTAAAATGTTGATGCTGGCTATTTAAACGCAAAGGCTGGCTCCAGGAAATTTGGAGTGGCTCCCCAGCTCTGCCTTGCCAATGACCTCTGACGGACGGCACCGTGATGTGAAAAGAAGATACCAGAGATTTTTATCTAGAGTGGCAGGTGCGAGACTTGAGCCCCTTTGCCTATCGCGAACCGTGGCCCTGCTCTTCTGAAAATGAACCCTGGACATTCGGCCTCCGCAGGTTCTGCGCTAAATCGTACGATTCTTGACGCAGGGATCTCTCATCTTACTCCACACGATGTCAGGCGTGTGATGGCTCCGTGTAAATTATGGACGCCACTATGCCGATGGCCTGTTCCAGTTGCTCCGTCGCTCTGTGCCAAAGTGGCATTTGGTGTCCTGGCAGGAGCCGGACGCCAGCATAAGCCCCAGCGGGGGGAAGAGTGGCCCACGCTGTGGATTCCAGAGGAAATGTCAGGGAAGCCCGGCAGGCCCGTGAGGGGCATACGCGGGCAGGCATCAGTGCGGCGAAGGAGGGGACGTCGCGCTGTTCCTCGCAAAAGAGCTGCTGCTCATAAATTGGGTGGAAAAGATTAATAATATATGCCATATGATATGCTGATGGAGGTTCTATGGGCATGCTATGGATAATATACATTAATTTATAACTACCCTTACAAATAATTCACCACTTTCTCTCTGGTTTCATCAATGGCCACTGGACAATGTATTTACTTTATGGTAAGGATTATGGATGGTATTAGAAATGGCTCAACGGCTCTGTCCAGAACTTTTCCCTTCTTTTTACAACCCCATTCGCTTGATTATTAATGGGCTCCGAACAATAACGGCGCAACGGCGCAAACAATGCACCATTAATATTTGATGCGGCATCTATAGCCTCCCCATTCATCATTTATAACAGGCTACAAAAACATTATAAAACATTTATTACACATTTATAGATCCTTTCATACTGAAGCAAAGTTGTGTTATAAATGCATTATTAATCCTAGGCACTGTTTATAGGAATCTCTTGTAATAAGAAGGGTTTAGCATATGTTGCTCTACAACCAGTATAATAAATAGGATGTCGCCCGCTGATGGAAAATATATTACACTGCAGAACGTTGGTTTTTCCAATCATGCCTGGGCTCCGCAGAGAAAAGGAGCAGGTCCGACATCTGTTGGTATGCAGACTGCCTTCAAATTAATCAGTGCTCCAAAGGACACGGAGCAGAAGGCCCAGATGGGCTTTAACAAAGGGCCATTCGGCAGCAAAAGACACCGGCTGCGGTCCAAAGAACCCGAGTAGCTAATTCTTGGTGCCCAAAGGTCCTTCAGGAAACCTGTCTGTCGTTACCATATTCCGCTTTCTAGGGAGGAATATGGGAGACAGGTGGAGGAAGGCCCGGGGTCAAGTGTGACCAGGCGCAGCTTGGAGCAAACCGTCCGGAGACGGCAGTAGATGGACGGTCTAAAAGCCATAAACAAGCAAATAAATAATAAATTACCGCACCGATTCTGTGGCCGCTGCAGCGGCGGAGCGGGGGTCTTTTCCCCACCGTTGCATCCTCTCAGCAGAGCTTCCCTAAATAATTCACAGCCTGCTTCCCCGCGGGCCAGGGGGAGAGTGCGTGGAACCCCTGTGGGGCCTGCAGGGAGCTGGCGCAACGCTTCAAGGCCCACATCTCTCCGGGCCGTCACAGGTTAGGCAGGGCCGTGAGCGAGGTCCGCGGAGAGCCGTGTCCAGCGCGCAGGTGGGCCTCGCCTGAATGGGTGCGTTCCCGTCACTGGGGCTGGGCGATGTGG